AATGGGGCATCGGCCAACCCCGCTGGTCACGCGCCCACGATGGTACCGAGAGGCTATCCCAGAAAAACAAGATGGCCCAATATTGCCTCCAAGATGACCTCCAAGATCAGCAGGAAATCCTCCAAGACGACCAAGATGGCCACAAGATCGCCCCAAACTGCCTGAGAGGCTCCGAAGACGTCGCCAAGCCTCTTAAACAACCCCCGGGAGAACCCAAATATGCCAACGTCGCCCATCTGCCTTAGGCGGTTGAGGCAATTGTCGCAGTTGCATCTTTTCAGGTTTCCGACGGCTCGCCTGCGGCTCCGCGTTGCTTTCCTACTTCATGCTGGACGGGATCTTCCTTGACTCGTCCTTCCTCCACACTTTCTCCCACCTTGCCCTCTCCGCCGTCGTGGCGTGAGGGCACCTCGGCGTCGTCCGTCGGGCGCGCGCCAGCGCGGCAGTCGGGAGACGCTCGAGAGGCGTTGCGTTCCTTCCCCTCCTCCTCCTCCTCCTCCTCCTCCTCCTCCTCCTCCTCCTCCTCCTCCATTCCTCTTCCTTATAAATAACTACTCCCTGTCGCACCCCGAGACTGGTCGAAAGGGCAGGCCGGGCGTTTCGCCTGAGACCTCCAAACAATGTATGACCCTGAAGCTTAAGAGTTGGCAACAGCTTCACAGATGGAGGGCGGGCCGTTTTCAAAAAGTGGCTCTCGCCTTAGCGCCACGCACATTTGTTTTACAAATGTGCAAGGAGCTTCACGGATTGAGGGCGGGTCGTTTTCAAAATGTGGCTCTCGCCTTAGCGCTGCGCACATTCATCCTAAGCATGTGCAAGAGCTTCACGGATTGAGGGCGGGTAGTTTTCAAAATGCGCTCTCGCCCTGGCGCCGCGCACATTCCTTCTTCTAAATGTTCAAGGGTTTCACTGGTTGAAGGCGGGTCGTTTTCAGAATGTGGCTCTCGCCTGAGCGCCGCGCACATTCGTGCACGAAAATTCAAAGAAATTCGTTTGTTTTCATGCTTCGCATTCTAGAAGTGGTGTGTTCGAGCGATTCAGGAATGTCAGGAGGGCGCAACAGTCACTTTGATTCGCGGTTCGAAGTCCCAGGAATGGTGTTATGGCACGAATCCAGATCGTCAAGAAGCAACAATAAGGTTGGCTCGTGGCGCTGAAGTCGTGAGAATGGTATTTCGGCACGCGTCAAAATTTTCACGCGGTTGTCTCCCAACATGTCACTTCCATCAGTGGAAATGAATCCTTGTTTGGGGCCTGTGTAAAGGGGAGCTTGGAGGGAGGAAGGGTGCATCCCAACATCGTTGTTGGTCCTGGGTTTGCACCGGTCCTCCTCCTCCTCCTCCTTCTTCGCCTCCTCCTCCTCCTCCCTCCTCCTCCTCCTCCTCCTCCTCCTCCTCCTCCTCCTCCTCGTCCTCCTCCTCCTCCTCCTCGTCCTCCTAGTCCTCCCCCGCCTCCTCCCCCGCCTCCTCCTCCTCGTCCTCCTCCTCGTCCTCCTCCTCCTCCTTCTCCTCCTCCTCCTTCTCCTCCTCCTCGTCATCCTTCGTCCTCTTGCCTGCCTCTCCTCCTCCCGGAGGGCCAGCTGTTCCTCCCGAGCCGCTGCAGCGGCTGGTCCCCAAGGGCCCCGGGGGAGCAAAGACGACGCCAGGGCGAGGACAAACTCGAATGACGACGCATGGCGCCGCGCCTGAGAGAACTGCGTTTTTTAAGCCGGATCCGCCTTCAACAACACGTGTTTTTTTAGCCGGATCCGCGTTCCAAACACGTGCTCTTCCAGCCGGACCCGCGTTCAAAACCACGCGTTGTTTGAGCTAAGTCCGCCTTCCATGTTTGTTTCGTCGGCGGCGAGGCGGGGCAATCCGCTCCAGGAGGAGGAGGAGGAGGAGGAGGAGGAGGAGGAGGAGGAGGGAGGAGGCAGGTGGAGGGAGGAGGGAGGAGGGAGGAGGGAGGAGGAGGAGGGAGGAGGGAGCGTGGCAGCGATGCAGCACTCCGAAGCGGAAGCCTTCCGCCGTGAGCAGCCCCGTGCGGCCCGCGGGCGGCGGGGACGGCGTCCGGGGGGCCGAAGCGCAGGCCAAGCAGACCGCGTCGGCAGGCGCGAGGCGCCGGGCAAGGGGAAGCAGTGCAAGCGCCCGTTGATGGGCAGATTTTCCACCACCACTACCATATGTAGGATGAGGTCCTCCTCCTCCTCCTCCTCCTCCTCCCCTCCTCCTCCTCCTCCTCCTCCTCCTCCTCCTCCTCCTCCTCCTCCTCCTCCTCCTACGTATGGTAGTGGTGGTGGAAAATGCCCTGGGCGCCCGTGGACTGCGGGCCCGCCTGCAAAAGCGTGCAATTTTGGAAGCCGGATCCGCCTTCAAAAAAACGTGTTTTTGAGCCGGGTCCGTCTTCAAAAGCGCGGCGTTCTCGACGCGCCCAAGTGGACGGCGCCGACACCACAGCAAACCCATGGCGAACCCTGCGTCCCGCGCCCGATGTAAACGAGGCCGGCACCGCGGCAAACCCCACGGAAAACCCCCCGCGTTCGAGGCGGAGTTTGCCGCGGCGCCCTCTCCAAGACGTAAGGCCGCGCGTCGGAACAAACGGCACGGCGACACATCGAGAATCGCAATCGCTCAGATCCGGGGGGCTCTTGAGGAGTTCTCGGCCGACGCGGCCTTCTCAGAGCGTTCCACAACGCTCTGGAACGGATTTATCCTCGTCCTGGCCCCGCCCGATGAAAGCCCCCGGAGGCAGAAGAGAAGCAAAAGCCTTCCGTCGTGACTTTCTCTGCAACGAGAAGGTATCAGGCACCCAGGCAGCTTAGCTACCCTGATCCGCCTGTTTTGGCACGCAGCCGCGTTAGGGAGCCCACAAAGAACGTACGCGCCCAACCGTATACATGAACACAGCCCCCCGATCCTCGAGAACGGCCGCGTGATACGAACGTTCGCGAAATGCGTACTCTCGAAAACAGCGTGGATTCATGTACGTGTACGTCCTTCTGTCGCTCCTGACGTGTAGGGTGCCTAAAAGGTCCGTGTGAACACGCTGCGTGTGGGCTCGGCGGGCCACTTCTTGGCGACCCTATCGCACCAGACCTGTGTCTTCAACCTGCGTGCCGAGCTCCCTGTCAGCACGCTACGGGTTGCTTGCTGCGCATCAGGGCAGCCAAGCTCGGGAGGCTCTGGGCAGCCCGGTCCTTGGCCTCCTGGATGAGGGCCCTGATCCTCGTGTCCTGGGAGCTGTCCAGCAGCTCGGCGATCGCCGCAACGTCTTTGGGGCACCCGTCCTGTGGGATGACCAAGAGGTGCTGATGCCGCTACTCCTCGGACCTCTCCCGGGGTGCGTTCTGCCTGGAATTTCCAAGAGCCCTGCGATTCTGGCGTCGCATTTTTTCCGCAGCGGGCGATTTTGCACTGCTCCAGGCCCCAGGACCGTGAGGACCCTAGGGAGAATCCAGCCGTGGCGAAGAGGTCTGCCCAGGACGAGCAGCGGCATCGGTACTGCCACGTCCTCCTCCTCCTCCTCCTCCTCCTCCTCCTCCTCCTCCTCCTCCTCCTCCTCCTCCTCCTCCTCCTCTTTGAACCAAAAACCAGACGACACCATCCCACCAACGACCCAGCGGCGATGAATGTTTCGGCACTTGCCCCATGAAGTCTCGGCGTGTTGTCACGGAGATGGGGGCATCCCCAAAACGAGTGCGCGGCAGGGACGCAACAACTCAACACGGCTGCTCGTGGGTGGGGTAGTGTCGCTTAGTTCTCGGTCAACGCTTCTCGGGTCCTTGGGCAGGAACGACTCGGTCTCCACGTCGGAAAGCTCGATCCTACAGGAACAAGCAACTGCGTAAACATCGGAGGTCCGCGCGAATTTCTTGGATCTGCGTTGGACCCCCCTCCCTGGCGCACGGAGCGCGCCAGGGGCGGCGCGGAGGCGCCGCCAAAGGGCCCAAGCACCGACCCTAGAAATCCGCGCCGAGATCCGAAAGCTTATGTTTATGCCGCTTTCTCTTCCTCCTCCCTTCCTGCTCCCCTTCCTCTCCGCAGCCTCCTTCCCCGTTCCCCCTGGCGACGACGACGGCGACGGCGACGACGACGACGACTAGAACGAGGACGACGACGAGGACAACGACAACGACGACGACGACGACGACGACGACGACGACGACGACGACAGCGACGGCGACGGCGACTGCGACGGCGACTGCGACGGCGACGGCGACGGCGAAAGTGAAAACGACGGCGACGACGACGAGAATCAACGAAAGTGGCATTTTAAACATCTGGGTCAGCTTCCCCGAAGCTTCTTAGCACAAGCCTGGGCCCATTTCTGTTGCTGACGCTGGAGGGGCGAACGTACTCAAGAGGCGGGGCCAGCTTCCCAGCAGGCTGGCCAAGAAACGCTGGCGCAGCTATTCGGGAGGAGGTTCCGCGGCGCGCCGGGGGGGGAACTGAGAAGGAGAAGGCCCTCTCAGAAGTCTCGGAAGTCCCCTGGCCTTCTGAGAAGTTTTCTAAGCCTTCCCCGGAGACACCTGGAACTTCTCAGAAGGCTGGAGGACGTCTGGGAAGCCCCGCCGCCTTCCGAGAAGGCCTTCTCCTTCTCCTTCCCCCCCTCGCTCGCCGCCGAGAGGTTTCCGGATCAGATGCTCGACTGTGTGCCATTTGCCCAGACCCCCGACGTCACGATTTTCTCACAACGTCGAACCCCGAAGATCTGGACCCCTTCCCCAGGACTGGTTTTTCATCCTGAGTCGTTTTTTGACGAGCCCGAGGCTTGGGAAGGGCCCCCCAAAGGCCGCAAGTAAAGAAAAACCTCCCGTTGTGACTTCTGTCACATCGCGAGGAGGTCTGGGTCCGCTTCCCTTCCCCCAGCTTCTGCCAAAAGCCCGCTGGCCTCACCCTTCTGCCAGCGGTGCCGCCTCCGCCTCACTTCCCCCGGCAGGGGGAGCAGGAGGAGGAGGAGGAGGAGGAGGAGGAGGAAGATGGAGAAGGAGGAGGAGGATGGAGAAAGAGGAGGACGAGGAGGAGGAGGAGAAGGAGGAGGAGGAGGAGGAGGAGGACGAAGAGGACGAGGAGGACGAGGAGGAGGAGGAGGAGGAGGACAAGGAGGAGGTGGAGGAGGAGGAGGAGGAGGAGGACGAAGAGGACGAGGAGGACGAGGAGGAGGAGGACAAGGAGGAGGTGGAGAAGGAGGAGGAGGAGGAGGTCTGGATGTTTCTTGTGCCTCGAGGTCCGCAGGCCGAGCTCGCGCGCGATGATGACGGCCTTGCGGGCCGCGTCCAGGCCCGAGAGGTCGTCGCGCGGGTCGGGCTCGCAGAGGCCGCGGGCCGCCGCCGCGGCGAGCGCCTGGCCCAACCTCCCTCCCTCCCCCGTCCCCCTCCCCCTCCTCCTCCTCCCCCCCGCCCCCCCCCCTTTCCCCCCCCCCCCTCCTCCCCTCCCTCCCCCCCTCCCGACCCCCCCCCCTCCTCCCCCCTCCCCCTCCGCTCCCCCCACCCCCCTCCCCCCCTCCCCGCCCCCCATCCTCCCTCTTCCTCCTCTCTCCTCTCTCCTCCTCCTCCCCCTCCCCCTCCCCTCCTCCCCCCGTCCTCCTCTTCCCCTCCTCCTCCTCCCTTCTCTTCCTCCTTCCTCTTCCTCCTCCTCCCTCATCCTCCTCCTCTCCTCCTCCTCCTCCTCCCTCACTCCTCCTTCTCTCTCTCCTCCTCTCTCCTCCTCCTCCTCCTCCTCCTCCTCCTCCTCCTCCTCCAGCTTCCTCCTCCTCCTCCTCCTCCTCCTCCTCCTCCTCCTCCTCCAGCTTCCTCCATCAAGAGCAGAGCGAGAAGAGAGACCGCGATGCAGATCCGCAACCCCTATCGAAGGGGATGAAGGCCGATGCTGCACCCGAGGATCCAACCCGACGCCAGAAGACAGGAAGCACCAGCCACGAGGGGGGGGAGAAGGGAAGGCGGACAGAAGAGCGAGAGGAGAACGGTCATGCCTGGCCCATGGTCGTGCTCGGGTCCTGCTCCATGGCGTTGAGGATGAACCTCGAGGCTAAAGGGCGGGGGGAGGGGGGGGTTCGAACCCCCATTCCCCCCTCCATCCAGGGAAGGGGGGGGGGTCCGGTTCCCCCCCTCCAAGCGACCACAGAACGCGCTCTTTCTGAACACGCAATGACATGAGAAGAGGCGCCATAAAATCTGGGGAGATGTCATGGCCCACGCCAGGATATCCACCCCCCCCGTAGTCATCACCCCCCGCTTGGCCGCCCCCGACCTCCGGGCGACGAGATCTGCACACCTCCGCAGCTCCTCCCCGGAGGTCCGACGCCCCGAAAAAATGGGAGCGGCGGGTTTGGGGACAGTGTTCGGCCTCCGGGGGCCCTCGCCGGGCCTCGGGACCATCGAAAAAAACGACTCGGGACGAAAGACCAGCCCTAGGGAAGTGGTCCAGAACTGCGGTGCCCACGCATCCGAAAAATTGGAGCAGCTGGATGTCTGGGCCCAAATCCACCGCTCCTGACCGTGTCCATCCTAGGCATAGGATCGGTGCATATGCTCCCCCCGCCAAGCCAGAGGGGTGTATACACCGCGCCTGGGCCCAGGATGGGCCTGGCCAGGGTGGTGGATATGCGTAAATCTCGTCGCCCTAAGCCTGGACGGAGAGAAGACGGCATCATGGGACGCAGAAGGACATACTACTAGTACTATACGCCCTCCTTGAAGGCGTGCGTCCGACCAGGTCATGTAGTGCAACCGTATTGTAGTATACCCTTTCCCGAGCGGTACAGCCAGTAGACCGCCCGCTTCCGCGCACGCACTGGAAGATTTATCAGCGTGCGCGCGTCGCCGCTGGGGTGCAGACGCACACATAATATCAGTATGTTCGGGCGATGGCGACATTACCCCAAGAAAGCACCCGAATCTAGGTCATCTGACTTCGCGCATCGCGCCCTGGGATGCGCGACGCGCGGTTGTCTTCGCGCCCTCGCGGCGTCGTCCTGGAGAACGGCACCTCTCCAACCCAGGCCGCGACGCGCGAAACGCGATCATCTTCGCGCCCGTGGAGGTGACGCAACTGAGAGCGGCAACAACAAAGGAAGGGGTGGGCCGAAAAGCAGGCGGTCTGCAAAAGGGGGCAGAGGCGGGAGCACGGCCATGTGCGCCTCCGCGCCCAGACCAAGAGTGTAGCAGGCACTGAGGCGAGAGCAGGAGCTGGGTTCGACGGTGGAAATCTCCGACGACACGGCTGCCAGGCCAGGCGTCCTCAAGTTCCCCGTCCTCCCTGTGGGCCTCTGCTGCGGTCCGTCGTTATACCAGTGTTGGAACCGTCAGGCGAAACGCGATTCAGGAATAAGCATACACGTTCGGAGATCCGCAAGGATTTCTAGAGTCGGCGCTGGGACCCCTGGCGCCACCTCTGGCACCGCCGCTCGCGTCGCCGCTGGCGCCGCCGCTGGCGCGCTCCGCGCGCTAGGGAGGGGGGTACAGCGCCGATCCAAGAAATCCGTGGGGAACTCCGAAAGTTTACGATTAGTCCCCAAACGTTAAGGGTTCGTAATTGTTTTCTAACGAACTGGGCTCGTGTGCCGCTCTGGCGGCTATTTGGCCGCCGTCGCCGCCCCGTCTGGCGGTTATGTAGCCACCGTCGCCGCCCCGTCGCCGCCTCGTCGCCGCCCGTCGTCCTGGCCAGTGTGGTGGTTATGTAATCACCGTCGCCGCCCAGTAGCCGCCCAGTAGCCGCCCCGTCGCCGCCCGTCGTCTGGGCCGATGTGCCGCTCTGGCAGGTGGCAGGTTTGCAATCGCCGTCGCCATCCCGTCGCCGCCTCGTCGCCACCCGTCGCCTGGGCTTTGGCATTGCGGCCTTGGCGCTGCGGCCTTTCAAAACGAATAAAGAGATCTACCCCCCCCCCCCGCGGGTTTAACCGCTCACCCTTTTACTATTACAGTGTACACACGATCCTGCCCCATCGCCCATCTTGATCGATCTGAACCCAAACCTTCCCAGGAACGCCAGTAACGCCCCCTCTCTTTATCCCCTGCTGAAAGTTCTATGGGCGCGCATTCGTTGATCACAAATCGTGAAGTTTTAAGACCCCGTGCAAAAAACGGGACGACTGGCACACGCGTGCGTCGTCGCGCGCGCATGCAGAAATCCTTCAATAACTCTGATCGTCGTAAACATTTCAAAACCGACTTTCCTGGAAACATATTAAAACACATGGTTTCGCAACAAAGAGCTGTCAACACACAGTGTGCGTTCGCGCTCTTGTGAATTCTTCAGCGAAAGCATGTTACCAAATGGGCCTCTCGCGCGCGCATGTCGAAATCGTTCGATCGCCCTCGCCCGCGCGCTGTCGCAAGAACCCTTTGCAACAAATGGGACGAAGCGCGCGCCTGCGTGTCGTCGTGCGCATGCCGAATTGTTTTTTTTTTCACAAGCTCTTGCTTACGTTGAGCAGTGTCGCCACATGCTACCAAACGGGCCCGTCGCGCGCGCCGGTCGAAATCGTTCGAACGCCCTTGCGCGCGCGCTGTCGCAAGAACCCCTTTCAACAGATGGGACGAAGCGCGCGCGCGTGCGCCATCGCGCGCGCATGCCGGAACGCCCCAAACACCTTCGGTTCCGCAAGTAATTCTTCAAAAACGAGCGCCCAAAAACATCATTTGATTTTTCCCCTGGAGAAACATGGTTGTGCAACACGCACTGTTCTAAACATGCCTGCGCGCGCGCTCTGGCGACATCTTGACGAAACCATCAAACTGTCGACGTTGTCATCAACGTATGCCGAATAGGCCACTCGCGCCGCATGTCGAACTCATCCGAACACCCTCGAGCGCGCGCTTGGGGGGAGGGGGGCACGACCCGCGTCGAAAGACGACCGCGCGGGCCGCTTGCGCGCGTCGGCCGCGCACGCATGCCGAAATCCATCCGAAGCCTTCATGGTCGACGCGAGGACATCGTCATCGTTATCGGCGAACGTGATCAACGTCAGCGCCGTCAATGGCCTCTCCGTCGTCATCGCCACTAGCGCCACAATCGTCGCCACTCTTAGCGCCGCGTCTACCTTTGTCAGCGCTGCCATGATACAGCGCCCGCCCAGGTCACCGACTCGCACTGAAGTGCCCGCTGGATGTGCCCAGCGGTCAGCGCCGCCGCGACCGCGTCGGTCGAACCACATTAGCCGGTCGCCGCGAGCGCGAGCACGCGCGGGCTATCGCGGCCGCAGAGATGCAGCGGCCAACGCTAAGCACTCATCGCAATCGCCGTGACATAGGTTTTGCAAACCAAGTTGCAGGTGGGCGGGCGGGAGGTTCGCGCGCGCGCAGTGGAGTCGACAACTTCAAGTTCGGCAGGTCGAATTGCGCCGCGCAGATCTCTTGCATGAAAAAGCATTGGGATCCCCCCCCCCCCCCCCCCCCCCCCCCCACCCCCCCAGACTTATCGAGCCGCCCAGGGAATGAAAGATGACGCGCTGTTCCGCCTCATCGCCCATCCTGATTACGAAGCATATCATCCCAGGCAAGCCCCCCCCCCCCCCCCGCCCCCCCCCGCCCTCTCATCCCCCACAAAAGATGACACGCGCGCCGCGCGCTTGTTTCTCGAGAAGAAACAGTTTCAATAACCCCTTGCCAACGAAAACTTCAGCGACGCGCACGCGCCGTCGCGCACGCGGACATCCTGCGAACCTTTAGACATCGCAGGGGTTTCCAAACCGAGCGGCACGAGCACACAAAGAAAACACTTGGATTCGCAACAAGGATTCCCCCAACAAAGCCTGCGCTCGCGCTCTTGCAGATTCTTGAGCAATCCTCAAGTTTTGAACATGTTCCTAAAATGCCACCAAACAGGTCTCTGGCGCGCGCACGTCGACATCGTTCGAACGCCCTCGCGCGCGCTGCCGCCAGAATCCCGCGCAGAAATGACAGGGCGAAGTCCGAGACGTAAAATAGAAAACCCCCACATGGTTTGCAACGTCCGCGCTCGACAACGCCTGCGCGCGCGCTCTTGCAAATCCACCAAGAGTTCTACAACGGCGCCATCAACTTCTGCCGCGCGGGCCTCTCGCGCCGCGTGTCGAACTCACCCGAACACCCTCGGGCGCGCGCGCCGGGGGGAGCACGAGCCGCGTCAGATAAAACAACGCGGGCCACTCGCGCGCGTCGGCCGCGCGCGCGTCGAACTCCTTCCAAAACCACCATCACCCACGCGAGGGCATCGTCATCGTTATCGGCGGGCGTGATTAACGTTGGCGCCGCCACTGGCCTCGCCGCCGCCATCGTTGCCATCGACGCCGTCATCGCCACTCTCAGCGTCGCGTCGACCGCCGTCAGCGTCGCCGCGATACCGCGCCCGCCAATTCACCGACTCGGACTGAAGTGCCCGCTGGGAGTGCCCGGCGGCCGGCGCCGCCGCGGCCGCGTCGGTCGCGCCGCACGAGCCGCTCGCCGCGCGCGCGAGCGCGCGCGGGCTAGCGCGGCCGCAGAGATTCACACGCCAACGCCAAGCACTCAGCGCAATCGCCGCCGCATGGGTTTTACAAACCAAGTTGCGGACGGGTGGGCGGGATGATTGCGCGAGCAATGGAGTTGAAAGCTCTCTGCGAGCATTGGTGAATTGCAGATTTTTTGCGCAGCGTAGATTGCGCGCTATATTCTCCTCTCTAAAAGGGAATCAGGATCCACCTCCAGCCCAAGGCCGGGACTACCTCTGCCTGGGGATTGCAATGTACATATGATTCGACCCATCGTCCATCCGCATTTTTGAATTCACGCTAACTTAGGCAATCCCTTACCGGTCCCTCGCTCATCCCGTGCAAAAAAATGCGCGCGCACTCGTCCATCAAAAACCATTCGTTGTTTTCAGAAACGCTTGCAAAACGAATGGACGAAGTGTACGCGCGCGCGTCGTCGCGCGCGCATGCCGAAATCTCGCGAAAAGTCGCAAGGATTTCAACATCGCGCTCCCCGATCACATATTCTTAAATCAAAACCGGGATTTCGCAACAGAAAATCTCAGGAAAGTGCGCGCGCTCTCTTGCGAATTCTTACGGACGCCATAGGTTTTCAACATGCTCATCAGGCGCTACCAAACCTGCCTGTCGCGCGCGCGCATGTCGAAATCGTTCGAACGCCCTTGCGCGCGTGCTGTCGCAAAAATCCCTTGCGAATCCCCTGTCGCGCGCGTGCAAGCCGAAATCCGTCAGAAAGTATTGTTTTCGCAGGGGGTCCAACATCGAGTGTCAAGGGAACATATTGGAATACAGAAGCATGGGTCTCGCAACCGAATTTTTCAAAAGTAAGCACGCGCTTTTGCGAAACATGTGAAACCATAGGTTGTTCAACATGTTCACCAGATGCTACCACAGCGTGCCTCTTGTGTACGCGCGCATGCCGAAGTCGTTGGAACGCCTTTGCGCGCGTGCTGTCGCAAGAACCCTTTCCCTACAAAAATCTGCGGTGCCGTAAGGACTCAAACATCAAATGCCCCGGGAAAATGTAGAAACACACATGCTTGTGCAACATCAGCGTGGAAAGAGTCTGCGCGCGCTGTTGCGAATTCTCAATCAAACCATGGGTATTCCAGGCCGCATCGGAATCGCTCGAACGCCCTGACGCGCCTGCTGGGAGGGCACCTCCCTCTCAAATAGCATCATGCTGGCCACTCGCGCGTCGGCCGCACGCGCTCATGTTGAACTCCCTCCAAAACCTTCATCGCCGACGCGAGAACATCGTCATCGTCATCGCGATCAGCATCGGCGTCGTCATTGGCTTTCCTGTCGTCGTCGTCATCGCCACCATCATCGCCACTATCATCATCGTGTCTACCGTTGTCGCCGTCGCCATGATAACGCGCCCGCCCAAGTCACCGACTCGTACTGAAGTGCCCGCTCGGAAAATAACATGGCGGTCACAGCCACCGCGGCCGCGTCGGTCGCGCCAGACTAGCCGGCCGCTGTGCGCGCGATTATGCGCGGGCTAGCGCGGTCGCAGGCATGCACCATCCAGCACAAATCACTCATCGCAATCGCCGCCGCACGGATGCTGCAAACCAACTTGCGGGTGGGTGGGTGGGTGGGATGATTGCGCGAGCAACGGGATTGGCAACTCCAAGTTTGTTTTAATTGATTCTCCTTTTAAGACTATCCCGGCAAAGCAACCTAACAGCGATTTGTAGAAGCATATCTGGAAGCATTCCCCTTAAGATTTAGGTGGGAATCCAGGTAGAATTCTGCTGTTCTCGCAGTCGCAGCCTCAGCCTGCCTCGGCTTGCCTCGGCCTCAGCCTCAGCCTCAGCCTGCCTCAGCCTCAGCCTCAGCCTCAGCCTGCCTCAGCCTCAGCCTGAATCAGCCTCAGCCTCAGCCTGCCTCAGCCGCAGCTTGTCTCAGCCACAGCCTCAGCCTCAGCCTCAGCCTGCCTCAGCTTCAGCCTCAGCCTCAGCCTGCCTCGGCTTGCCTCGGCCTCAGCCTCAGCCTGCCTCGGCCTCAGCCTCAGCCTCAGCCTGCCTCAGCCTCAGCCTCAGCCTGCCTCAGCCTCAGCCTGCATCAGCCTCAGCCTCAGCCTGCCTCAGCCGCAGCTTGCCTCAGCCTCAGCTACAGCCTCAGCCTCAGCCTCATCAGCCTCAGCCTCAGCCTCCTCAGCCTCAGCCTCAGCCTCAGCCTCAGCAGCCTCAGCCTCAGCCTCAGCCTCAGCCAGCCTCAGCCTCAGCCTCAGCCTGCCTCAGCCTCAGCCTCAGCCTCAGCCTCAGCCTCAGCCTCAGCCTCAGCCTGCCTCAGCATCAGCCTGCATCAGCCTCAGCCTCAGCCTGCCTCAGCCTTGCCTCAGCCTCAGCCTCAGCCTCAGCCTCAGCCTCAGCCTGCCTCAGCTTCAGCCTCAGCCTCAGCCTGCCTCGGCTTGCCTCAGCCTCAGCCTCAGCTTACCCCGGCCTCAGCCTCAGCCTCAGCCTGCCTCAGCCTCAGCGTCAGCCTCTCAGCCTCAGCCTGCATCAGCCTCAGCCTCGGCCTCAGCCTGCCTCGGCCTCAGCCTCAGCCTGCCTCAGCCTCAGCCTGCCTCAGCCTCAGCCTCACAGTTGGCTCTGGGCAATCAAAATGTAGCCTGGGAATGATGTTCTGGGAACACGAAGAACACGAAGTGGCCTACAGTTGGCTCCGTGCATTCAAAATGTGGCACGGGAATTGCGTTCTGGGAACACGAAGAACACGAAGTGGCCTACAGTTGGCTCCGGGCATCCAAAATGTAGCCCGGGAATGGAGTTCTGGGAAGTCGAAGAGCACGAAGTGGCCTACAGTTGGCTCCAGGCATCCAAAGTGTGGCCCGGGAATGGAATTCTGGGAAGTCGAAGAGCACGAAGTGGCCTACAGTTGGCTCCGGGCATCCAAAATGTACGCCGGGAGTGGAGTTCTAGCAGCGCCAAGAGCGATTCTGCGAGGATGTCCCAAGCGATTTGGGCTTCGGCGGCAGCCGCCCCGGGTCTCGCCCCGACCCCCCTGAGGAGTCATCTGCTGCTCTCTTTTGACACCACTAGAAACCTATCAGTCTTTGCTGTTACGTAAAAAATAGACTCTACCCCCCCCCCCGCCGGCGTTATCCGCCCCCCTTTCGGGTCCGTAAATCATATACGATTCTGACCACATGTCCATCAGAAATATGAATGTACACTATCCCAGGGGGGCCGGTATCGGTTCCCCTGATGTTCCCTTGTGAAAACAATACGCGGGGACATTTTTTGCTCGAACATGAAACTTTTCACGAATCCCTGGCAAAAACAAGGGGCGAAGTGCACGCGCGCGTCGTCGCGCGCGCATGCCGACATCCTTCAAAAACCTTCAGTGCCGGAAGGATTTCGCAATCGAGCTTCCAAAAAACATACAAAAACACAAGATTTCGCAACACTGATTTGCTAAAAAAGCTTACGCGCGAGCTCTTGCGAAATCTTAAGAAATTCACAAAAAGCTACCAGACGGGCTTCGCGCACGCATGTCGAAATCTGTCGAACGCCCTTGCGCGCGTGCCGTCGCGAGAATCCTCTGCAAAAAACGGGACGAAAAGCAGACGCACGCGTCGTCGCGCGCGTATGCCGAAATCCTTCAAAACCCATCGGTCTCGGAAGGATTTTAAACTCGTGTGCCCAAAAAACATACAAAAACACTTGGTTTCGCAACACGGATTTTCAACAAAAGCGTGCGCGCGCGCGCTCTTGCGTCGTCGTCTTCGTCGTCGTCGTCGTCGCCGTCCTCCCTCCTCCCGCGTCGTCGTCGTCGTCGCCTACGTCGTCCTCTGTCTTTCCTCGTGTTCGTCGTCGTCGTCCTCTTTGGCGTCGTGGTCGTTTCCGTCGTCGTTGTCGCCGTGGTCGTCCTTCCTCTCCTCGTCGTCGTCGTCGTCCGTCGTCGGCGTCTCGTCGTCATCCCTCCTATTTCGTCGCCGTCGTCGTCGTCGTCGTTGTCGTCGTCGTCGTCTTCCCTCCTCCCTCGTCGTTGTCGTCGTCGGCGTCGCCGTCCTTCCTCCTTCTTCGTCGTTCGCGTCGTCGCCGTCCTCCCTCTTCCCTCGTCGTTGTCGTCGTTGTCGTCGTTGTCGCCGTCGTCGTCCTCCCTCCTCCCTCGTCGTCGTCTTCGTTGGCGACGTCGTCGTCGTCTTCGTCGTCGTCGGCGTCGGCGTCGTCGTCGTCTTCGTCGTCGTCGACGTCGGCGTCGTCGTAGTCGCCGCCGCCGTCGTCGTCGTCGTCGTCGTCGGCGTCGTTGACGTCGTCGTCGTCGGTGTCGTCGTTGTCGTCGTCGTCGGCGTCGTCATCGTCGTCGTCGTTGTCATCGTCGTCGGCGTCGTCGTCGTCAGCGTCGGCGTCGTCGTCGTCGTTGTCAGCGTCGTCGAAGTCGTTGGAGACGTCGTCGGCGTCGTCGTAGTCGTTGTCGGCGGCGTCGTCGCCGTCGTTGTCGCTGTCGTCGTCGGCGTCGCTGTCGTTGCCAAGTGCCATTTGGTACCCACCGTCACGGTCTTAAGAGATTTTACAAACCAAGTTGCGGGTGGGTGGGTGGGATGTTTGCGCGAGCAGTGGAGTGGACAACTCACTGCGAACAGAAATTAGCTGCACCACATAGATTACACCACATAGACTAAACCACACGTGCTGCACCTCATAAACTACACGAACTACACGACATGTACTGCACAAACTATACGGCGCCACATAGATGACACAACACAGACTGCACCACAGATACTGCACCACGTAGACCGCTAGAGGCTAGAGACACACTGTTTGAGGTCCGCACTGGCCAACATGTTGCTGTTTTCTCCTTCGAGATGAACCCCACGGTGCCCGAGAGCGCGCCCTCCACCTTCTTCACGTCGTCCCCGGTCTGCACCTCCGAGGCACCCCTCCGACGCGCGCCGATCCGAGACACGACCGAGATCCCAGAGCTCTATAGAGATCCGGCCGTTTTGTGAGGCCGACCCTCCTCCAGGCCAAAGTCCGAACAGACTGGTGGCGAGCCAGCCTGGCCCGAGCTCCACAGGGAACTGCACAACTGAACAAGTGCAACCAAGCTGAAGTCCCAAAAGGACGAGCCGCGTCGAGGTCGACAAAGAACCTGAGTCTTCTCGGGATCGAGCCCACGTGTCCACTTCGACCGCGGACTTCACTTCAAGCGTGTTCTTAAACAGCTGGACAAGTCCAAATATACGAACACAATACGAACAGTAAATACAAGCTCCGAGAAAACGCTTAGGCCCAGTCAAGATTCTTGATTTTCTCAAACGATACCGGGAATCCATGAATATATATATATATATGTGTATATGTAAATATGTATATTATTGTTATTATTATTATTATTATGATTATTATTATTATTACTACTACTAATATTATTAGTAGTAGTATTATTATTAGTATTATCATTATTATTAATATTAGTATTATGATGATTACTACTACTACTACTACTACTACTACTACTACTACTACTACTACTACTACTACTACTACTACTACGACTACTACTACTATTATTCGTATTATTATTCATATTATTGCTATTATTATTATTATTATTATTATTATTATGGACTCCCGCTGGGTGTCAGGTCAAGGGTGGGGGAGAAGGGCTGCTCGGCGGGCATCAGGGCCCAGGTCCCATGGGTCGCGCCTCGATCCTGGGCAGCGATCGCTGGATCAGCGATCCACACCCACGCTCGAGCCCCGATCGTAGAGGAACAAGCAACTGCACAAACACAAACTTCCTGAACTCCGCGCGGGTTCCTTGGAACGACGCTGGACCTCCCTGGCGCGCTCCGCGCGCCAGGGGGCCGCCAGGGGGGGGGTCCCACGCCGAACCAAGGAACCCACGCGAACCTCCGAAAGCTTTTGTTTATGCTGATTTCTCTTCTTCGAGATAGGCTGGTCTTCCTCCTCCTCCTCCTCCTCCTCCTCCTCCTCATCATCATCATCATCCTCCTCCTCGTCCTCCTCATCCTCCTTGCTTCCGCGTCCTCCGCCCCCTCCTGAGGGTCAGCTGAGGCCCCAGACCCCCAACGTCGTGATCTCCTCGCAGGCTGGACCCCCAGTTGGCGGCGAGCGCGGGGGGGGGAAGTGAGGAGGAGGAGGCCTCCTTAGAAAGCGCGGCGGGGCTTCTCAGAAGTCCTCCGGCCTTCTGACAAGCTTCCCGCGTCTTCGGGGAACGCTAAGAAAGCTTCTCAGAAGAAGAAGAAGAAGAAGCAGAAGCGGTCTGCTCACCGGCCGCGGCGGGCTGGGCCCCGGACGGCGCGCGGAAAAGCGCCTGAGCAGACCGAGGGAGACGAGCAACCGGCATGCGTTCGCCTGCCCGGACCACGGGACAGGCCGACAAAGACACGCGGGCCAGGCGAGGAAGGCACGCGGGCCCAGAATGCGGGCCGACAAAAAGACCTCGCAGAAGGCCGGGGGCCTTCGGCGCCTTCTGAGGAGGCCCGCCCCGTTGCACTGCCCACCCCGGGCACGCCGCCGACCAAGGGGCCCACAGACCCCTTCCCCAGGCCGGGCGTTCCTCCCGAGTCGTTTCTCGGGGGTGGCCCCGGAGCCCCGGCGGGGGCCCCCAGAGATCGAGAGCGGCCGAGAGCCTGCCGTCGGGGGTGTTATGTCATGACCCCAGGGGGTCTGGGGCTCGCCCGAGGTCGTGGATGGTGGGGATGACGGGCATCTGCGCCCCGATCTTCGTCGCCGTCGTCGTCGTCGTCGGCGTCGTCGGCATCGTCGTCGTCGTCGTCGGCGGCGGCGGCGTCGTCGTCTGGGGCTCGCGCGAGGTCGTGGATGGTGGAGATGACGGGCATCTGCGCCCCGATCGTCGTCTCGTAGAGCCACCGGCCGCCCGAGCGCGTCGCCTCCAGGGTGCCGCCGCCGCCGCCGAAGACGACGCCGCCGCCGCCGCCGCCGCCGCCGCCGCCGACGACGACGACGACGACGACGACGACGACGACGACGACGACGACGACGACGACGCCGCCGCCGCCGCCGCCGACGACGACGACGACGACGACGCCGCAGCCGCCAACGCCGCCGCCGCCGCCCGCCAGTGCGCGCCGCCTCCAGTGTGTCCGTCCACCTTCCGGGCGGCCGGGAGACCAGGGGCGGGCCGACCAGGCGGGCGGCAGCCCGGCTGGTGTCCTACAGCCATCGTGCCACCACAGGGAGCGCGGAACAAGAAGCGAGGGGGCCCCCTCGAGTCCTAACAAAATCACGACGGCAGATTTTTTGGCCGTCTTCGGCCTCTGGGGGCCCTCTCACTCCCCTGGGCCCCCGGGACCGGGCGAAAACGACTCGGGATGAAAGGCCAGTGCTGGGGAAAGGGTCGGGACTTCCGGGAGCCCCGTATCGAGGACGTGTAGGCGCAGGGAATGCGGAAGGAGGAGGAACGGCGCGGGACCCCCCCTCTCTGGCGCAGGGAGCGCGCCAGGGAGCAGGGGGCCCAGCACCGATCCCAGAAATCCTAGGTTACAGCCATCGTGCTACCATGAGGACCAGAAGGAAGGCTGGCCAAGGAACGAAGGAGATTTTCTGGCAACGGCGAGCCCCCTCGGCCACGCATGGGCTCCCCGACCCCGATCTGAGGAACGGCCCGGCCACTGGAGGCCCCCCCCGAGCCCAGATTCACTCGCGAGGCTTACGCCGACCAGCGCGTGGGCAAGAGCACAGCCTCGAGCAGCGACGCGACGTGGAGGGCGAAACGCTGCGCCGGCCAGATGGAGCAAGAGGAGGAGGAAGAGGAGGAGGAGGAGGAAGAGGAGGAGGAGGAGGAGGAGGAGGAGGAGGGAGGAGGAGGAGGAGGAGGAGGAGGAGGAGGAGGAGGAGGAGGAGTGGTCCTGATTTCGGCGTCTCGCTGCAGTAGAGGAAGAGAGAGCAGCAGGAACAGAAACTCTCGACGCTCCGCGCGGCCGTCTGGGAATCTGCGCTGGGCCCCCTCCCTGGCGGCGCCTCCTGCGCCGCCCCTGGCGCGCTCCTGCCCGAGGCGAGCCGCCTGGGAGGGGGCCCAGTGCAGATCCCAGAAATCCGCCCGGAGCTCCGAAAGTTTATGCTTGTGTGCAGCTTCTGACGGACCAAACAAAGGGGCCCCGAACCCTTTGGGAGGGGACCTACGTCAGGAGGACCAAAAGACATTAGGGGTGGCGGGGGGGTCTTTCCTGAAGATGCATCAGACCAAACCGCCCAGACCTGTGATCCTTGATGCGAAAACGGCACGTCCTCGTCGTGTTATCAAGGTTAGGGGCTTCTGTTCTCGATGAGTTCTGCTCTCCTCCGATGTAATCTTCATCACAACTTGGGGGGGCAAGCCATGGACACGGCCGGGCCGGGCCTCACCGGCCCCCGCCTGGCCCCCCCGAGCCCCGGTCTGTCGGCCAGCCTGACCTGTCGAGCGGCCCCGAGCCGACACAGTGGCTGGCGGAGATCACGTGGATCCCCTTGCGCAGCCATCTCGGGTAGTTCTTGGCAACCTCCTCCGAGGGGGTGCAATCGATGATCACCTCCGGAGGAAGGAATGCACGGCATGAGCACACCTCGCGCGGATGTCCTGGTTCTGCGCTAAGCCCTCCCCCCTGCCAGGGAGTCCCAATTCCCTGGCAGGGAGGAGGAGGAGGAGGAGGAGGAGGAGGAGGAGGAGGAGGAGGAGGAGGAGGAGGAGGAGTCCCTCCTCCTCCCTGCCTCAATACTCCCTGGCGCGCGGAGCGCGCAGCGGCGCCGGCAGCGCCGCCAGGGGGGGCTCGGTGCCGATCCAAGCCGAAAGTTTATCTCTGTGCCGTTTCTCCGTCTTCGGAACTTGCGGGGTACTCCAGATTTCATAACAAAGGGAGGGGGGTCTCATTTCGGGGGGGGGTCTCTTCCAGGCTATCTTGGAGGGCCTGGGGGGGTCTGGGGACGATGTTTTGGAGGGTTCTCCCACCGGGGGGGGGTCTGAAATGGCTTGTCTTGGAGGGTCCAGACCCCCTCCCTTTTATTACGAAATCTGGAGTATGCGCTTGGGGTCGAGGAAGTCTAATCGGATCGAGAAGTCGGATCGGTGATCCAAATGAATCGGATCGGCGGAAATCGGCAGCCAAGTCGGGCGAAGTCGAATCGGCCGAGATCGGCAGGCTTGAAGGGCCTCCGTTGCGAAATCGGAATCCGAATCGGAATCCGAAGTCGAACCGAATCGGCATGGGAACCCGTCGGAGTCGAATCGAATCGAATCGAAGGAGTCGAAAGGAGCCCTGCCTTGTGGGGTATGCGCTTGGTGTCGAGGAAATCCTCGAGCACGCCCATCTCGGTCGGCACCACCTGGAAGTCAGCCCCGAGCTCCGCGACCTTCTTCTCCCACGCCGGGATGCTGGTGCCGCCCTCCTCCATGTCGAGCCCCTCCAGCGGGAGGCCGTGCTCGGACAGCACCATCTTGCTCGAGTCCGCGATCATGCGCACCTCGATTCGTAAAGCTTCGGGCTGCGCACAAGTCGGGGATGGACAGACCCCCCTTTAGCAAAACGTGGTTGAGTGGAAACGGCCTGAGGCCCAAACCTGGCGGGCGCAAGCCCTGGAAAGCAGCGGCCACGGCGCCCCCTCGAGAACCGAAAACGGAGAATTCACGAATCGACGTGTCACCGCTGGGGGTTCTGCCCACCCCCGAACGAGCAGCCCCCCCCCCTCCCCCCCAGGCAGACCCGGCTGGCCGCAGCAGGCCCCCCTCCGAGCAGTCCGGGGCGGTCTCGGCGCCCCGGCGCCGCCTCCGACGGCGCCCCATGGGGCGGCCCGCGCCCCGGGCTTCTGACGCGTTGGGACCGCCCCGGACCGCCCGGGGGGGCCTGCTGAGGCCAGCTCGGACCGCTCGGAGGGCCTGTGGAGTCAAACAGGGCTAGGATCGGGATAAATCGCTCCAGAGCGTTCCGGAGCGCTCTCAGAGCGTTCCGGAACGCTCTGGAGCGGCCGCGGCGCCCAATACATCCTCCAAACCCGCCGATTCTCAGAGATTTCGAGTTATCCCGATCCGATTTTGTCCCGATCTTCGCGTCGTTTTACGGAGGCCGGCCAGGACTGCCTGGGGGGGGCCTGGCTGTGCGCAGCACGGAGCCCCACCACGCACCTCGATGTTGAGGTTCTTCGACTGCATCATGGCCGGGAGCTTCTGCATCCTGCCCTGGGATGCCTCGAACTTGGCGAGCTGCTTGACGACCTCCGAACCAACCAGTCCGGTGCCGATGATCCCGATTCCCATGTTCATGTTCGACAGCGTGAAGCCTTCGTGAATAGCGCGCAGCGCGCGGGAAAGGTCCCCACGCGGCACCACCACCGAGATGTTTCGCTCCGATGCGCCCTGCGCAATGGCGACTACGTTCACCTGGGCCCGCCCCAGGGAGTTGAAGAAGCGCGCCGCGATGCCTGTGCGCTCCTTCATGCCCTCACCGATGATCGCCACGATGCTGCAGTCCGGCTTCGGGGCCACTCTGATCTCGGAGTCCCGCGCGAGCTCAATGGCGAAGGCCTCCTTCAAGCCCTCCACCGCACGGTCCTGATCGCCCGCATCGACCGCCACGGTGATGGAGTGCTCGGAGGATCCCTGGGAGGCGAGGATCACGTTGGCGCCAGCCGTCTCCAGAGCCTGCATCATCCGGCGAGCCACGCCCATGGTGCCCAGAAAGGATGCGCCCGAGATGGTCACCAGCGACACCTTCTCGATGGACGTGATGGCCTTGACCGGGAAGTCCTTCATGGTGACGTCCTCCTCCTGATCGTCCCACTTGTTCCAGGCGTCCCCCCGACCGTATACCCTGGTGAGGGGCAACGATAGGGGGGGACCGACATCGGGGGGGATGCATCGACCACGAATCAGCGATACATCGTCGATAGATCGGCGATAAGCCCCCGATAGCGAAACCGCACATTCCTGGGCGAGGCGGGGCTACCAGACCCTTGCATTGGCGATCAGTGGGCGACTAGGGGGTCGATGCATGCTCCCCTGTGCCCGTCCCCCCCCCATCTTGTGGGGAAACCAGAAGGTACCGAAACCGGTACTGCCCGGACCTCTCCCGGGCTGCGCTCCGACCAGAATCTCGAAGCGACTCCAGCGGTGGCGACGAGATCCTCCCAGGAGGCCCAGAATGGGGGAACACGAGGGAGGGGTGGAGGCATGGGTACCTTTTCCTGCTCCAATCGTTGCCCCCGACCTGGTGCCAGGGTGGGATGGGTTGAACACGTTCTTGACGAGGACGGGGATCCTCTTCTCGATGCAGGGCACCATGGCCGAGGGGTGCAGCACCTGGCCGCCGAAGTAGGCCAGCTCCATGGCCTCGTCGAACGTCAGCGACGGGATCGAGAAAGCGCTGGGCACCCGGCGGGGATCCTAGAATTGTGAGCGGCAAGGGGAGCCAGGGGCCTCCAAGTAAGAAAATCGTTAAAGTAACCCCAGAATAAGGCCAAAGTTTGTGTTTCTGCCGCTTTTTTCTTCTAGGACCTAGAAGAAAAAAGCGGCAGAACACACAAACGTTCGGCGGTCCGCGCGGATTCTTCGGATCTGCGCTGGAGCCCCCCTCCCTGGAGCGCGGAGCGCGCCATGGGCGGCGCTGGAGGCGCCGCCGGGGGCCCGGCGCGGATCCGAGAAATCCGCGGGGAGCGCCAACAGTTTCTGTCTATGGCATTTTCTCTTCTTCGAGATCCGCGGTGTACACGCCGTTCACATTCTTCCAGAAGGTCACGGACGCCGACCCCAGCACCTTGGCGAAGATGGTGGCGGAGTAGTCCGAGCCGCTGCGCTTCAGCGTGGTGGGGCGGCCGTCCAGGGTGCTGCAGACGAACCCGGTGATGACCAGGAGGGGAGCCTTGGCGCCGGCGGGGAGCGCGGCAAAGGTGCTGCTCCACATGTCCTGCATCTTCTCCATGGTCGTGTCCCACAGGGGCTGGATCGTGTCCATGGCCTGCCCCTTCTCGCCCAGGCCCATCGAGGACGCCTCTGGGGAAACAAGAGCCCAGACAGCCTCCGATTGAATTGTCTGACTAATATACATACATATGTATATATATATGTACGCATATAGATGTGTATATATATGTGTCTGTACATATACGTGCGTATAAACAAATATATATATATATATATATCTATACATATATATACATATGTTTATGTTTTATATTTATATATTTTTAAAAAAAAAAAAAAAAAAAAAAAAAAAAAAAAAAAAAAAAAAACTCCAAAAGCACAAAAACTAAAACAACAAAAACGGCCCCGGGGCACCCGACCACCCTTACCTGGGGGTAGTGTTGCGCCCCAGATCCATGTGTGATGGTCCCCAGGCACGCCCAGATTGAAAAAGAAAAAAACATCGCTGGAGATCTGGGAAGATAATTGCCGATACCGCCACTCCCCGGACCTCTCGTGGGGTGCAGTCTGACCCGAAGATCGCGGCAAATCCAGCCGTGGCGGCGAGGGCCTGCCAGGAGGCCCCCAAAAAGGCGAAGACGAGGGAAGCCAGGACCTCCGATGCTGTGATTTCTCAATGCGGGGCCCTCGGAGCTCTGGACCACATCCCAAGAGCCCTCGAGTCATGAACAAAATCACAGCGGAGGGTTTTTCATTATTTTCGGCCTCTGGGGGCCCTTGCCGGGCCTCGGGACCGCCAAAAAACGACTTGACGTCGAGGGTCTGGGAGTGATTGTTCATCCTGGCCTGTTTTTGACAGTCCTAGGGCTGGCGAGGACCCCCAGACGCTGAAAACGAAGAAAAGTTCTGGGAGGATGGCGATAAAGATAGTCTGGATGTCATGATAAAATGGGGGGTCTGATTTTTGGGTGGGTCTGATTGGAGCTGTCTTGGCGGGTTCCGCGGGGTCTGGGCAAAAGGCCGCCCTTTTCCATGGCTGGCCTGGCTGGGGGACTAAAACAGCTCGTCTGGGAGGGTCGTGGCCACCCCGTTTGGCTACGAAATCCCACCAGCCCTCTGGGCGTAGGTGGTCTAGCGCGTTTCCTCCTCCACCCCTCCCTCTTCCACTTCGGGGAGGGGTTGATCACTGTTCCTTGTTAGTGTGCACCCCCTCCTCCACCCGGCCCCGGCCGGCGTCCAACCAGGAACCATGCCGACTCCATGAGGCCCGCCCCCCACCATACCCGTCAATACACCATGCAAACCGCACTCTGCCTCCAAATTCGGAGCATGCGCGGCCAACCCGATGCGCCCCCCCCCCCCGCCATCCATGTCAAAAAACAAAGCAAAATACACTTTGGGGTAAGGTCTTGAGTCATGCTCGTGAGGCCCGCGAACACTGCGTATTGATGTTACAGGGATGGCGGGGGTGCCAGCATATTCCCTGCCGTGCGCAGGGCTACCATCCCTGACAAAAGACAATACAACATGCACCTCGCGGCCAAATCTGGATCATGCGCGGCCATCCCGCGATCACTGTCAAATGGTTTTTGACAGGGACGGCGGGGGTGGTGGCGCGTGGCCTGCTGTGCGCAGGCCCACCAGACACAATAATGGGCATTGGTTTTCGACAAGGACGGCGGGAGCCGACATGTTTCCCGATGTGTGCTGTCACGTGCGCAGGCGCGCCTGACGCACACTGCACGTGCCCCGAACATGACGCATCTGGCGCGGCTGGAGTGTGCGGCACAACTGGCGCACTCGGAGCACGTGGCGCATCTGGCGCACCAGGCGTGCCTGGCACGCTCGGGCTCCAGGGGTGCCTGGCGCGCGTGGCGCCCCTGGCACGCGTGGCGCACCTCGCCCAAGCGTCGCGCACCTGTGGTCGGCTTTGGTTCCCAGTAGCTGTCCATTCAAAGTCGACGGCTGAACACGCCCAGGCTCGGGTGTTACTTATGTGTTGGGAGGGCGTGTGGGAGTGAGCTAGACGGCTTGCGGGCGGGTGGGTAGCTTGACCCCTCCACCTTACCCCCTCCCCTGGACCTGGAGGGGTGGGGTCGCGGGTCGTTGGAGGGTCCAAGATAACCCAAGATGGCTCTAGGAGGGGCTCAGAGAGCCCAAAATGACTTCCAAGATGGCTCAAGATAGCCCAAGATGGCTCAATGTGGCTTCCAAGATGCTCCAAGAGGCTCCAAGACGGCTCCAAGACGGCTCCGAGTGGCCACGGAACCTCCCCAGGATGGCTCCAAGAGGGCCCATGATGGCTCCAAGTGAGGCCAGGCCCAAGAGAGCCCCAATACGACCCAAAGAGGGCTCCAAGAGGGGTCCAAGAGACAAAGTTAGGCACTCTAGGAGGGCAGGGCTAATTAAGCACCCCCCCTTGTTCGATCGGTCTCCTCCAAGATGGCTCAACGAGCGCCCCCAAGGCTCCCAAGAGCGCCCCAAGGGGGCCCCAAGAGGCGCCAAGGAGGCCCCAGAATGCTCCCAAGAGGCCTCCAAGAGGCTCCCAATAGACCCCAAGATGCCCCAAGAGGCTCCCCGAGGCACCCAAGAGGCTCCAAGAGGAGTGTCCAAAGAGCGCTCTAAGAGGGACCCTTCCTCTGTGTGCTGCCCACTTCCCTGATCGAGGCAACTCCTCTAGACATCGTCTCTGGATGGATGGACTGGTGAGTTTGCGCGAAGCGTCAAGAACTCCTCCTCC